AGAGACAGACAGACACACACACACAGAGACAGACAGAGAGACAGAGAGACAGAGAGACAGACAGACACACACACACAGAGACAGACAGAGAGACACATGATTGTGTATGACTGACAGAGCAAAGAAGCAATAACACAGATACAAAGAATTAAAATATCTCACCACAGAACGTAATAAACATGAACTGTACTGAAGACTGAATACTCCCAAAGTAAATGATACAATAAAATACTAGAATACACAATAAAGTACTAAATATAATAGAACAACGAATAAGATGAGGACAAACTATGAACAAGAGACAAGTGTGTAAACCTGCATTTAAAGTAATGTTGAGAATAACATATAAAGATAAGACGTGTGAAGTCACAGCTCTTCAGGAGGAATCAGTGTAGAATGGTTCGAATCGTCCTGAGGAAGAAATCAGAGACTGATTCTTATATTTCATATTTCACTTGAACTGCTCTTATTCAGATAGGGTGCACTTTACTTTGAAAGAGATCCAGCTGTGTACCGGAAGAGGACACCCTGCAGGTTCCTGTCTCAGCAGCTCGTGACCGGTAAAAGATAAAATGTCCTTTAAAACACTTTAGCTCTCATGTTTGACTTCGTGTTGAAGCTGCGGACTCGTGGTCCGAGTCGTTTTCATTTTTAACAGCTGTTATTGTTATTATCTGATGTGTTAGCCAACCGAGCTAACCCCAGCTAGCTGTTAGCTTAGCAGCGTTAGCGCGGAGTTCGCTCAGTCGAACAGATAAATTCACGTGTTTACATAAAGTTCAACCAGTTGTTGATGACGTCACACTGTTGGTTTCATTAGAGTTATGTTATTTTAGCCTGCAGCACAAACAACAGATCGTCTCTCATACTTTTATTTTGACAGGTTGTTGGTTGAGTTTCCCGCGTCCCGCACCGGAAGCTGCGTTGCTCCAACGATCCTTCCCCCCCCCCACTGTCGATACCGATAGATAACTGATATCAGAGCCGATACTCGATAATATCCCCTAGTTATATTTATTCATTATTAACACTAATTAACTCCGGGTTTTTAAACCGTAACAGCCACAATAGACAAGTGTACACGCACAGACAATAACAATATAGCCAAATTGCATATAAAGGGCTTTTACCTGATTTTAAGAATATGGTTGGGCATGAACATCCAGAGCCAATCAGGCACCGGTATCTATCGGACCGAATCATAGTGCAGTTTTATTTTAAATATAATCACAAAATATGAATAAAACACTTCAAATGTCCAAGTACTAATGTCCAGAACTGTAGCAGTAAGAGGAATGTGACCTTCATTCTAACGTTAATTCTAAAGGTGATTGTGGATGACTCTTATTTTTCCTGCAGGAGTTTCTCACCATGATTGACCCGGAGCAAAATGGCCGGAGCGACGCTTCTAACTTCCGCAGCACACAGGATGAAGCGTTCCCTCCCCTCCCCCCGCCTCACTCCCCGGGACAGGGGGGACAAGATGACAGAGACCACTCTGGAAATGGTGAGAATGGGATGAGTGTTTCTCTTCTAAGCCGTTGACATCAACCCAGCACAGTGTCCGCACAATTCGGGGTGGACGTTCTCCGTAGGTTTTAGAACAGGAGTGTGTGTGTTTCATGTTCCTGGTCTGAACCTTGAGAGGCTTCGCTCTCACAATAGTTGTGTTCACAAACCTGCTCCGGATCATTTCAGGAGATTATCGTCTGGAGGCATCTTAAGAGATCACTTCATACAGATACTCAAAAGATTTTGTGAATAGATTTGAGAGAGCAGGGTTAATGTATCGTACCTGTCAACACGGTGACGTGATGTTGTCCTGCTCTGTCCTCATGGTGATGAAGAAGAGGATGAAGAAGGAAACGTGTCCAAGCTGGCTGAGGTTCCTGCTGCCAAGAGGAAAGGAGTGAAGAGGCCGCAGCCCAAACTGGATTCTAACAGGTGCCACATCACTGCCTTCTTATTCAATCAGTTTTTAAAAAGTGTATCGTGTTGTCAGCTGACATTTGTCCTCACATATGTTGGACACGACTTATTGTTTGGTTCAGTTGTTGATGAGAATTAAAACGTTTTCTTCAGGCTGATCTCAGAGAGAGGACTCCCAGCTCTGAGAACGATGTTTGACGACGTCCACTTCAGAGGCAAAGGACACGAGGTAAGAACTGACGACAACAGTGAACTACACAACAGTGAACTACACAACAGTGAACTACACACGACAGTGAACTACACAACAGTGAACACACACAACAGTGAACACACACGACAGTGAACACACACATCAGAAGGTTGTGTAGAAGAGAGCCTGACGTGTTGTCTGATTCTCAGGCTGCTGATCTGCGGCTGCTGATGCAGAAGATGGAGAACTGGGCTCACAGGTTGTTTCCCAAACTGCAGTTTGAAGACTTTATTGACAAAGTGGAGAAACTGGGCACCAAGAAAGAAGTGCAGGTGTGAGGAGGAGGCCGAACGTTTGGAGATGATCTCATCAGCGGATACGTTTTTAATCTGTTTGTGTCTTTGCATCGGCAGACTTGTCTCAAACGGATTCGACTGGACATGCCGCTGACACACGAAGACTTTGGGAACGAGGGTGAGAGAATAAAAATCACTCTTAAAGATGGAACACTTTCTGATTGATAGCTTTATGACCCGTGCTGCAGCCGGCCACCAGGGGGCGATTAAGATGAATCAGCTTCACTGTCAGGAGCCGTCATGTCGTCCATCTTTGTTTAGTCTCTGTGATACAACAAGACTCTTGTTATTTAAGCTGCTGAACAACTCGGCAGTGAATCAGTGAATATTAGTGAAGATGTTATTTTGATAGCAGAAATATTATCATGGTGTAAAAGTGAGAAAGTTTAAATTTACACAATTAATCCAGTCGTATAAAAACTGCTGTGTTGAAGGTGAAGAGGCAGAAGCTAAACTGGAAACCCTTGAAGATCCTGATCCATTTAGTGGAGCGCGTTTCACTAACGAAGCCCAAAGACCAGTCCACTCTACCCCCGCTCCAGCTGCTGCTCCTCCTCCGGCTGCCCCCTCCCTCACCGAGGAGCAGCAGCGACGCATGGAGCTGAACCGACAGCGAGCTCTGGAGAGGAGGCTCGCCCGCCACAACCAGCAGCAGGAAGCAGGTGAGAGGCTTCAGCCATCGAAACACATTCAGCAACATGAAGCCTTTAATTCAATCAGAGCTGCAAGTTATTGAAGAAATAAAAGATCCCAAAAATATCAACCGAAGCTGGAATCAGACAATGATCAGTTATCAACATATCCAGTTAAATAAGTTAATAAACTTCTTGTTCAGATTAAACCAGAGCTCAGCGTGGACAGGATTTTAAAAAGTAACCTGCTGACGTCACGTTTTCTCTTCCTCTCCAGACTCCACTGACTCTCAGGCCGTCGGCACACCAGCAGACGAACCCCCATCTGTCTCTTCTGAAGATGTCCTCAACGGATCTGACGACCGGGGCAACGGAGACGAGGACGCGACGGAGCATTTAGAGGTGGAGCCACACGGCAGCGGCACGCAACCACCCAGCCAGGCTCCACCCACAGAGTCCGAAGCTTCAGCTGAGTCCAGTCAGCAGGAGGACGAGACCCGACAGCGTCCAGACAGCAACGAGTGTGAGGACAGAGATTAATGCTCAGACACGTTACCTGTGAGGCAACGAGGTGTGTGTCTGTTTGTGTCTCTGTGTGTGTGTGTGTCTGTGTCTCTGTGTGTGTGTGTGTGTGTGTGTCTGTCTGTCTGCGTGTCTCTGTGTGTGTGTCTGTCTGTCTGTCTTTCTCTGTCTGTCTGTGTGTGTGTGTGTGTGTCTTTCTCTGTGTGTGTATATAAACTGTTCTTTGTTAGTAGGATTCCTGTTCCTGGGTTTTCTTCAAACTGTTCACGTTTTATATCTGAAACACGATTAAACATTGATTCCATATTTGTTGTTGTGGTTTTGAAATGTGCGTCTAACAGCACAGACGATGATTTCAACTGTCAGTTAACTTGATTGATTATTAGAGTTGGACATGTTGAGTTAGCAGAACTTGATACTGCAGCTCCGCTCCACGATCACAGCAGAGTCCAAATACAAGACCAGCAGAAGAAGACAGTGTTTGTGTCTGAGACAGTTCTACACACTCTGGTTAATGGTCTTCATGTCCAGTCAGTCTTGTCCACACCTCATGTCATCAAACAGCTTTATTTGGTTGAAAAAAGTTCAATAAATTCAAATGAACGATTCTAAGACAGAATAGAGTCGAGTTAATATATTTACAGTCGTGTGAATCCTCTTCTCTTTGTTCAGTATCTCAGTTGACGGCTGCTCTAAGCCGTTGATGCGCAGACCTGAGGAATCATGTCCGGGTCCATTAGTGCCAGTTCTCGAACCTCCTCCAGCAGCGAGTACAGGTTCGGAGTTTTGCTCTGACTGAACTCTCTCTCCTCTTTGGAGAGTTTGGGTCGCCGGGCCGCCTTCTCCTGGGCCTGCTGATGCGCCTCCTCGGCCAGACGCACCACCTCCTGCACCAGCTGGCTGCGGCCCTGGGAGCTCGGCTGCTGGGTGTCGGCGCTGCGGTAAGGCTGGTTGCCGACCACCTCGAGGTTTAGACGGTCGGCGTGGCAATTAGAGGAGTGGACAGAAATACAGACCTGTGGAGACAAGGGGATGTAAAACAGCCAGTCAGGTCTTCATGTGAAGAAGAGACATTTGTCTCATGAGGGTTACTGCCTCACAGCTGTATGACAACTTATCCAGATGTTGTCTACATACACGTCTGTCTAAAGTGTGAACTGAAGGAGTTTAATAAATAGTTTAATTTTGCTCATAGAAACTTATTCGTCATCAGTCAAGGAGGTCTGAGATTGGACGTGTCTTGAGACTCACAGTGATGTGGTCAAACAGTCTGAAGGTGGATGTGCCGCAGCTGGAGGTGGTGGTGATGTGGTCTGAGAACCGTCGCACTGAGCCGCTCTGCCACTCGCAGCTGCCGTCCGGTCCTGCAGCCACAACCTGGCCCTCCCGGTTCTTCATGTACACCGGCCCCTTCACGCCGTACCTGGAGGGAACACAGTGACGTCAGAGCGGCTGGATCGCTGAAATCTGGATCAACAGTTAATGGGAACAGGATGTGGACTCAGAAGAGCAGTGGTGCATCTTGGGACTCGACTTACTCTGAGACAAACACCAACACGCCGTTGTCTCGGATGGAGTAGATGACGGCGTCGGCCACGCAGCGCTGGTCAGTCTGAGGATCTCTGTCTCTGAAGTAGAGACACTGAAACAGCTCGGTGGATAACTTCTGCGCTCGCTTTGCTGCCTGAAGGTCACACAGAGGTCAAAGGTCAGACTGAGTTTATTTCATCCAGTAAGAAGAGAATCACAGATCAGCACGGACCCTGTTCTTGTTGTTGATATGCTGAGCCATTTCTTCCAGCTCCTTGTTACTGGACAAAGCTCTACCAGGGCCCACTCCCCTCTCCGCGGTGATGGCTGCGGAGAGAAGGCGGTGGACCACGACATCGGCGTAGCGTCGAATGGGGGAGGTGAAGTGGGTGTAGCGATCCAGAGCCAGACCTGACGGACAGAAATTACATTTTCACTTCTAGATTCTAATATCTGCACTTTGAATAATGGCATCAAGTCTGAGCCGTTATTTAATTCATGAGCTTCAGATCCACAGAATCTGAAGCTCAGGATGAAAACATTTGTACCATAATGGTAGAACTCATCCACGGACTTGGCACCAGTGGAGAAGTACAGAGCCTCCGACATGGCTTGGGTGGTCATCATTCTCAGCAGCCTGTTCACCAGCGGGTCCTGTGGGTCCACAGCTCGGTCCAGGGAGTCGGCTAAAGCCTTGTTGGTCCTGAAGAAACAGATTCATTTTCTGACTGATTCAAAACAACCTGCGAGAGGAGGAGCAGGAGAGATCCTGAACCAGTTACCTGGTGTCGATGGTGAATCCTCCAGCCTTGGCGCTCTCCACCAGCTGACTGAAGAACTCCTGCCGTGGCGGCGGGTGATACCTCAGCAGCGCCTGATGAGGGAAGGTCTCCTGGATCTTGCGTGCCACCCAGTGGTTGGCGTAAATCATGCACTCGGCCACGGTCTCGTGGACCTCCAGGGGCTGACGGGGGACCAGGGCCGTGATGTTCCTGTCCTCATCCAGTTGAGCGCGAACCTGAGAGGAACCAGAGACCAAACTTTAAACACCTGATTCAGGAGTTTTTTTTATCTGGTGACGCTTTTGCTCTCCTGGCAAAAAAATTTGGCCGGCAGGACACAAACGACGGTCGATTTAGAATCGAGTTCACGCCGCGTACCTGCGTTTACCCTGCATCACACTACTTGACCTAGAACTTGCTGGAGGGACTACATCCACCTGCACTGGGAACGCCCTTGGAAAGCGTAGCTGAGGGGAGGGATGTCTGGGATACTTTGCCTCAGGATAAAAATCAGGATAAAGCAAGCATACCTCCAGCCCCTCCAGCTCCAGGGCTCCTCCTCGGTCCCTCTGCGCTCGGAGGTGTCTGGCTACGTGTGTGAGTGTCTCCAGAGCCTGGGTGAGCTCCGACAGCTTTGCATCCTTCTCCTCAGAGCCAAGCTGGACCAGCTCCGGCACCTCCGCCCGCTCTCCGTTGAGGAGCGCCTGGGCCAGCTCGTAGTGGAGCTGGTAGGAGGAGCGGATTATTGTGCGACCGAACCACACCTGGTTGACAGCGAGGGTTTGTGCGTCGAGCTCCCACAGCACGCTCATGGCATACCTGGATTTAACAGGGAACGCATGTGTAAGAATTCAAAACGTTAAATTCCAACAGTGTCGAAAGGAAACCTGCAGTTCACTGACCTGTCGACTCCTCCCAGCAGAGAGCAGAGGTCTGCACTGAGAACGGCAGGCAACATGTCGTACCTGCGGTCCGCCAGGTAGTAGGTCGTCGCCCTGGAGACGAAAAATTAAAACATCAACACTTGTTATCATAACCTCATGGTTGGTTTAATGAACCTCACCTGAGTCTTTAGCCGTACGGTCTCCCCTCATTTTAAACCTTTCTTAATAAAACACTTCCAGCAGCGGAGGTGTCAACCAGCTGACGTCTCACCTGGTCCGTGCTTCCAGGTCTGTGAGTGAGCCCTCGGGGACAAAGTGGGTGACATCAGCGATGTGGACACCGAGCTCGAGCAGCTTCCCGTCGGCGAAGCTTCGCACCGACAACGTGTCGTCTACGTCCTCGCAGCCCTTTGGGTCGATGCTGAACACCAGGTGACTCCCCCTGAGGTCCCGCCGCTCCGCCACCTGGACGGGATCCACCTGCCACGGCCTCTCAGGGGAGCTGACCGGCATCTCCTTCAGCTGAGGACGGACACACAGACACAATAAAAAAACTATGTACAAATGAGGTACAAATCATTTTCATGTGATTTAATTCTGGTAAGACAAAGAAATGTCTTATGAGTGTCTTCATTACATTTGTCCTCAATCAACCCTCAGACACTTCAGCTCTGAATAACTGCTGAGGGCCTCTAGGGGGCAGTGTCTGCACGTCTAAAAGTAAAATAGATAAAAGATGAAATCTTTGAGTTGAATTAGTTTAAATTGATTTATTTAGGGGATAAATGAATAAATGAATTGATTTTAAAAACGATTTCATCCGGTCCACCCTGGTTTCACTTCATTCATTCTTTCATTGAGAGATCGATGTTTGATGAGCTGGTGAAACGCAGCGTCTGAAGATCCAGAGGTTTTCTCTGGTGGCAACTGAAAATATTGAAGTTGTTTTAATGTAGTAAAGTATTTTAAATGTCTCACCTGTGCATCCGAGAAAGGAGGCACATGGATGCAGTTCTCGATGAGGATGGTCTGGACCTCCGTCTCCAGCTCTCCAGCTCGACCCAGAACCCGCACACTGTGACCATTAGGGTAGAGCGACGTGCTTTCCCATGAGTCAATGCGCACCACCACTCTGTGGTCCTGAGACACGAGGAAGATTCACATGTAAGATCTATAGATTTATCTCTACATGGTCTATGTGGTTCACAGAGCGGCTCATCATGAATCTTATCGTGGACGGCAGCACCAGACCTGCAGAGCGTCCGCCTGCTGCGTGCTGATGCGGATCTTGGGGATGCGATGGTCCCATGGCACAGCCAGGATTCTCTGGGAGTTCCTGCTCTGGGGCTGAGTCCCGTCCCGGGGGGGGAACGTGACCACGTAGTCCCTCCAGTTCCTCTGCAGGATCCCGACAACACGGCCTGAGAGTTTCAACGATCACAGATCAATAATGTTAATGCAGCGTCTTCACACTAAAACTGTTGAATAGAAATAATGAATGAATCGAACCAGGATGAAAGAAATAATGAAAGATCTCCACTTTGAAGGTTCACTTACACGTTTTAAGGTTTCTTTTAGTGAAGGAACATTTGAGTTCAGATGGTTCAAAAGGTCAAAAGGTGAAATTATTAACTATTTAAAACTATTTTGATGATTTGATCATTTTCAACAGTTGAAAAGCAAATTCTTCATCTCGTATGATTCTGTTTCTATATGAATTACAGACATCTGCAACTGAATGATGTCTTTAAGTTCAGTTTCAGAGTCATAATTCAAGATGTCTTAAATTCAACTCACGATCCCTTAAGTTAAGTTTGAGGTAACAACTAAGTAACTAGTCTGAACGTGAGTTGGAATGAGTTCTGTTGGAAACTAAACCAAACCTGTCGGCACTGGTTTACTGTCGTCGTCCGCTCCGC